GGCGGCTAACCTCCTCATTACAAAAGTAACAAAATCCTGAAGCTCAAGAATTACCAGATGCTTGATCAAGAAACAGTCTGGCATATAAGCTGCTGTGAATCCACAGCTTGTCATTTTACTCCCTCTTCTCAGCAGAGATTAGGCAAACAAGGTCTGTTAGCTTATGAGTTTTGTAGGTGGATCTTGTTGTCTTTGGTTAGAGCCTAGCTAGCTGTTTCCTCATTTCCAGCCTTTATGCTACAGTAAGCTAAGCTAACCAGCTGCTGGCAGTTGTTTTATATTTACTCATCTAACTTATTTCCCAAAAGCATCAGATTACACTGGAATTCCTTAAAGAGCTGGAACTGGCTCAGTGATCCGGCCTCGTTTCCGTTCATGTATTGCATTTTTAACATTAAACAAATTGTTTGAAAAGCCTTCATCAGAGAACTTTCATATTAAAGAGCATGTAATTCCCTGCATCAGACAAAAATAGTCAGTAGTGACATGATGAGGTTTGTACCTCCAACTAGTAATGTTCCACAGTGTCTAGAGAACAGTGTGTCTACAAGCAGCTTTACTATAAATAGCTCTGGGACACTGGCTTGTTGGTGCCATCTGGTGTCCACTGGAAGTACAACGGGCATCAGCAACCTGAAGCTGCACACACTAAGTTGGTGGAGTGTGAGAGCTGGAGCTGAAAGAGTTGTTCATGTTAGTGTTTAAACAGTTCCTGGATGTCACAGTTCATAAGAGGCAGGGGCACTTGAATGAGCCTGAACTACAGACTGAATTTGTCCCACATGAAAACTGTGTGGTGGCCCAAGGGAACCAGGAGTAGTTACACTGTAGAAGCCTTTTTAAAATGACATTTTCCAGAGCAAAAGCCCCTGGCCACTTTTCAGAATCCTTCTTGCCTGTACAATCATCTCATTCACTCCCTGTTCTTGCAAGCTGTTAAGCTCATATTGGCCATACTGATCTGAACTACGTTTATCCCCATTACAAGTATTTTTAGTCCTGTAATTTGCACATCTTAAACTGTTTTCCTCCTGGAAGGTGAACATGTTGGATTTCATATCAGATCCCTTGTGTTTCAAATAACATGGATTTTTCAGCTTTTTGTTATTTGTTAACAGAGGACTTGTGTTATGGGCCTTTGAAAGGAGATTTTCATGGATTAGAGTGTTGAATACATGTCCCATATCTTAATGGCTGTGAGAACACTTTCCAGGCATCATTGTCTGTAAAGACATTTTATTTTTAAGCATCCTCACTTTTCACTGCCTTTGTATTGAGCTGGTGTATGTTCCTTGTTATTTTGAGCCACAATAAGTGAATGCTAGCTTTGGGTTTAATTTAGTTTTGATTTCTGCAGACGTTTGGGCCGTAGTTATTGTTGGATACAGTACTAACCACTCCGACCCTAGAAGCCGCTGCCATGTATTTTGTACAGTGATTTATTATAAGTGCTTCCTTATTTTCCAAAGTAAAGGAACAGATCCATTTGTCTCTTCTGTCTCCTTATTATGACAGTTGGCAGCTGGTCCCTGTTTGTCTGTTGTTCCTCTTTTTTTACTCCTTTCCCCTTCCCATCCTTACACCCCATCCCTCTGTTCCTCCTTTCATCCTCCATCACTGTCCTGTCACCCCTCCTCCCACCCCCGGGCGCCCTGGACGCCCTGCCAGCAGTGTGGTTTTGTGGTCCAACCTCTGAAGCAGATGTTGTGTTTGGTGTATCCGTGTGAAGCACAGAAATGTTCTGCCTGTCTTTTGTGGCACTGACATCACCCCCAACCTGCTCACATGTTTATCCTATACCTGAGTCATGAGCTCTAAATGTGGATGAGCTGAACTTCTGTTGACACTCCTGAAAACTTTTAAACCTTTCTTTTGTTATTTCCAGGTTGATCCGTGCGACAAAGCCTTCCGAAAACACAGTTATTCTAGCCGTTGTGCCGCAAAAGTGAGTTTGATTTTTTTTTTTCTTTTAAGCTGCAGTCTTTCATAAAGGTGTGGACCACTACAAGGATGTTGACTGTGGTTGCAAATGATAATAATCCTCCTGTCATTGTGTAGACCGCCTGACCAGGATGAGCCATCTGTTCTTCCTCTCCTCTGTGCTGGATTTAGCAGAGTACGTCCAACAACTTGCTTTAGCTTGTGACTATTTATAACAGCCTGAATGTGTTTTTGCTGGTTTTGAAAGAGGCACTTACTGGATCAACGTTTGATGGTGTGAAACTGATATAGGAGGTTGCAAAACAAGTTGGTACTAACTGAATCGTGACTCACTCATTTTCCACTCTTGTCTCTTACACTCCTTCAAATTCTACTTAACCTTGTTTGTCCTGCAGAGGTTTGTGGAGAACAGCAGTGTGTCAGCCTGCTACAATGAGCTCATACAGATTGAACATGGAGAGGTGCGCTGCCAGTTCAAACTCAGGTACATGTAGTTCTACATACAGGCGGTGACAAATGAAAGGAAAACCTTGAACAAATGAGTGGCCTCCTCCAGGATGACAGGGCTGCTATCCATAGGGTGAAAGGTGTCAGTGACTGGTTTGTTGAAGATGAATATGATGTGAATCAGACGCTGTGGCCTTCCCAGTCACCAGGTCTCAGCCCAGTTGAATAGCGATGGGAGATGGGAGCGTCTCCGCCACTGTTATCAAAACACCACATGAGGGAACATCTGCTTGAAAAATGGTGTTCATCCCTCCAGTAGAGTTCAGAGACTTGGAGAGTCAGTGCCAAGGTGGAGCTGTTCTGGTGGCACACTTTATGTTGGCTGTCCTTTCATTCGTCACCTGTCTGTAGATACGTGTACAGATAGATCTACGAAGTGGTGTCGGTACTGAAGTTAATCACCCTGAGTTACTGCGGCTTATATCATCCACAGGGCTTGTAACTCCATCTTCACTGCTTTGGAGCAGTGTCAAGAGGCTGTGGAGATCACCAGTGAGGACCACATAATACAGGTAGCACACACATGCATTCAAAGTGAGAAGGAACTAAACCACGAACCTTTTCTATGAAGCATAAGGTGGCGATATTTTATTTTTTCTTCAAATCCAATTAAATGGCCAAAACCAATAGTGTCTTGGTCTGTCTCTCCATAATCTTTACACTCACTAAGCACTTTATTTACCTGTACAATTGAGTGCAATCCAGTATAAACAGCCCTGACACCACATCTGTCTTTATCAGTTATATGTTTATTATTGAGGCCATAGTTTTATTGGACTGCATTATATTCAGAGGGGCTTCTCATATGTACTGTATGTAAACTGGGGAGACAAATTTTAAAGAGAAAACATTTCTGAACAGTGCATTTCTTTTTGGTTATAGCTGGCTGCAAATATGATGAACAGGATTTACAACAGTGGGGTGCTGTATGTGGGATCAAATAGAAGTTAACCACAGAATTTACTGTAATGAAGAAACGTGTCACGAATAAAATAACATATAGAATATTACATTGCCATATTTTAACTCAAACCCTTTCCTGTTTTCGTCCCAGTATGTGAACCCAGCGTTCGAGCGGATGATGGGCTACTACAAGGGGGAGCTGATTGGGAAAGAACTGACTGAGCTACCCAAGAGTGACAAGAACAGAGCTGACCTGCTGGACACCATCAACACCTGTATCAAAAAAGGGAAGGTCCGTCACTCCTCCATCTGTGAGATTTCAGATCTCTGTTTCCCAGCCTGACTGTTCTGTTGTCTCTGAAGGAATGGCAGGGCATTTACTATGCCAGAAAGAAGTCAGGCGACAGTATACAGCAGCATGTGAAGATAACACCTGTCATTGGCCAAGGAGGGTGAGATAACAACCCACTGTGATCACATGCTGTAGATTTCCAGAAATCACTGACAGATGCTTCTCTTGCTCTCTGCAGGAAGATTCGACATTTCGTAGCCATCAAGAGGCCTCACATTGACAACAACAATCAGGTGAGTTAGATAATACATCACCTACTTTTTCTTTTTGTTGAAGAAATGAAATTCTCTGCTCAGCGTCTAATAAAATCTACATTCCCCCTGAGAGCAGTAGAGGTCAAACAAGAGCTTTGACAATCAAGATTGGCAATATTCTGGTGAAACTTCAAACCTGGAGTGCCCTTTATTTACCTGAACTTTCTACCTAAAATGATTAGCTTCTTCACATTAGTAGAACTTTAAAACTTTAAACCTCTTATTCTCAAATCTGCTCAAATTGCTGATTTGCAGGCTCAGATGATGAACCCGTACATTCCCACTAGCAGCTGTTTGGAGAAAGAAAATGCTTCTACAGAATTTAATTTACAAAAAGCCTTTGACTAAAATAAGCTCACTTTTGCAGATCACAGTGTAATTGGTTCTGCAGCAGTCCTAATGCTACAGTATAGACTGGCCCAGTCAAGCCTGGTGGAGAAATGAATGAGTCTAAACTGGCAGAAAGTTGTCCATAAATACTTTAAATGAATTGTAGGCTAAAGTGTCAGATTCAACTATGCCAGCGGAGCATGTAGCCTCACAGGCTGCCAGCTCTGAGCAGTGTGCACGGGTTCCAGGCCAATAACATCATACTATGCTAAGATACCGCTAGGCACCAGGATCCCCCCATTAAGGGCTGGCAGCCAGGCACCAGGTCTATTTATACCTGGAGCAAAGCCGCACAGGGACCGGCTTTAGCTCACTGCTCTCTTTCATCATGTGTACATAAGGTGAGTCGGCTGCTGGCATCTGCCTGCTGAAGCCAAATGGCATCTATTCCTGCTTTCTGGGATTGGGAATCTTCAGCATGGCAGTGACTGATCCCATTCTCGAAATCATGGAAGTCATCCCTCCCAACTAAGCTGTGCAGTGTCAGTCTGAATGGTATTACCAGGCCATGCATTTCCTGACTTCATTTTTACCACACGTTATAGCAGAGAACTGATGGGGGAAGTGGGAACAAAAAGTTTAGTACTTAACATTTTAAACAAAATCATTTCGTGATGTTCTGCATCTTCGCTGAGACACCAATGTCCATCTGACAACCCACGGCCTCAGAGGCCCCTTCAGGATACCACCGATTTGATACTGTATCCTCGCCTCATACATTTTCCTTTGAGCTCTTCAAACCCCACATTATTCCGAATCTTTTCCCGCCCAAACGTTTGGCTGTGGGCTGCGGTTTCCATGTCTCTGCGGCGTTTAGCTAACAGTGCTGCACCGCAGACTTACAACAGGTTTGGGGTCAGTTTTGTTTCTTTCCCTCTCAGTTAAGGGTCATCATACTCAGCTGTTTACCCGCTTTGGTCAAGTTAAGCCAATAGATGTTTCTTAAATGTCTGTTTGTGCTTTCCAGCCCAAGAAGCCCATTAAGATGCAAACAGCTAAATCTGGCAACCCTGTATGTCATTAGATGTGTTTATACTGTCTTAATCCTATTTGCTCAGTATGGGGTGCACTGGAGACCTGAGAGCAAGCGACCTAGAAACATGGGTCCTAAAAAGAAAATTTAATTGACAAACATTTCTGGAACCCGTTTTCTTCATATCAAGCATCAGCATTACATGAAAGTGCATGATGCACTGTCAGCGGTGTGTAAAGGCGCAGTGTGTCACTGGGTGAGGACAAGCTTGTGTAACCGATTAGAGGCTCTACAGTACATATCCATGTCCACATAGCCTCAGTGTGACTAACAGGATGTACTGTACAAGCTGTGGCCTGCATGAAAATATATTACTATAAACATGAGGAAGTGTGCTGTGAAGTTCAGTTACAGCAAATGTAGCTCAAAACCAGCATATTAAAATGTGTGTTCTTTATATTTTATCACATTTAAGGATCATTCTTATTGTGAATATTAAGCTGCCATTTAATTTTGAAGAGTTTTTTTATTGGATGATGTATAATATTTCATGTCATCCGAAAATATCTCAGAATGAGAGAGATATTTCACAAATTGGCATTTGGTCTCCGTATCTAATGTTCTGTTTTGGGGCTGAGTTCCTCACTAATGATGCAGCAGATTCTTTTGACTAATGTTTCAGCGGCAGTGCACTTTTAAACGGTTGGCCAGAAACCTGCATAACATAAAAAGCTGTCAGCATCCAGACATGATATGTAGAAAAACTGGTTTCTGAACTGTCTTTGGAAACTATTCCAGGAATGCACAGGGCTCACTGAATGCTGTTTCACCTTTCTTCTCCATTTGACCAACAGATTTTAGGGACATTTGTTTATCTATAGTTCATAGGTATTAAGAGTATCTTTGTTTGCAGTTTTTTCTATGTACTAATATCATTTATAATAAAATTAACACTTAAATAAATTAAAATGTATATGATTTAAAGGTAACTTCACTGAACTGCCTGAATTCTAAATTTATTCTAAAGCTGAGTGGGCAGCTGCTACTTTTTAAGCCAAATCAGCTCTGTTTTAATTTTCCACCACGATTAGATCAAGGGTAAGTTCAGACCTGCTGAAGTGACTCAAATCAGTTTTTCCCTCCCAGTGACTCAGACCTGATGTTTCCACAGCAGTGTGAACAAACTAAATCAGATGGTTTCAGATCAGTTGCGTATGTGCTCCTAGACCCGATTCCTCTCCGACCTCTGGCTGTGTGAGCGCTGTCAGAACAGTCAGATCAGAATCCATGTGGTTGTTTTAACGCCTCCTCCTCTGCACATACAGCCTGTCGTCGTCATTCAACGTCGGCCCCTCGCAGACCGGTAACAATAAACATGGAGTAGAGGGATGACAGTGATGGTGTCAGTGGAGAGACCAGGATGTTTCACATGTGGTGGACGTTTATGGAGAAGCTTCTGATCAGGAAGGAACATATCGTAACCCAGCGGTTTGGGAGGAAACTGGGCCATTTAACCGTTCGCACACCCAACCTGGTTCTCTCATATGCATGTGGCTCACGTTTCAGTTAAATTTGTGCATCTGTGGCAGTTTAGGAGCTCAGCGGTGTTCACACCGGGACCAGGTACATGGCACTGACACACATGGACGGGAAGCAGCAACACATAAAGATCAGATCCGAACTTAGTGTCAGTTATTTGCTCAGTTTATAAAGACAGCAGGGTAGGAAAAAAGTAAATGTGGTTTTAGTCAGGGCTGGCCTGTAGCTTTCCTACCAAGTGTGTGCGTTACTGTGGTTTGGTCTGGGCTTTGCATTTTGCAGTTGCTTACAGAAAATATTACATACTGCTACACAGAAATAATCAATTTTTGTAAGTGACACAGATGTCAAAAAGTCAGATTCTGGTCTCATCTCAATTTAGGCCAAATATGTTTGAACTGTTTTTTGTAAGACATTTCTGTCTCTAGCGTTACATTCAGTTACTTTTACTCTTTTCATAACCGGCTTTACCAGGAAAAGGTTGTAACCTTACTTTCAGAGAATCATTCCACAGAGGTGGACATGCAGAGAATCTGGGTGGCGCATAAAGAGAAAATGAAGTGTTGAAATACCAAACATTTCAAAGTACTGTGTGTCTCCATGCACAGATTCAGTGTAATTTAAAACCTCTGTACCATTTTTAGCAGCATCACAGTAGTCTGTTGAGAGTGGAAGGAAAGATAAGTTCAAAGTCTAAAGAACATCGCATGGTTGGCTCACATTATGTCTTTAATCAACAGACATAATCATGCTAGCATGTTCCCTTTAAGGGGCAGGAAGTGAGGCTGATTATATTCCTCACAGTGAACCAGCTGTGACTCCTGGTTGTAGTCCAGACTTTAATCAGCTCCTACTGTCTGTCTGTCAGGTCCTCAAGTTGAACAAGGAGTGATCATTCTCAGTCAGGTAATGCACCTCAGCACATTTACAAGGTTGCCACAGCCTCTTAAGTGGACAGGTATATTTTCATGTCAAGATGTTTATCACAGTGATGGATAAATAAAGAGAAGCATGATTTTAGCTAAGCCCCAGTCTGTGACTCATGTGTGCTGATTAGAGTCACAGAGCTACTGAGCCTCAAAACTGGTAAAAGGTGCATGTAGTAAAAGGTTATTAGACAAATCAAAAATGTGCAGTATAATAAAGGCTGCATCAGTTAATCGAGGGTAAATATACACACGGACGGATGGGACGGATGGACTCCTGGACACAGACAGGCTAAAGTCCCCCCACCCCCCTCTTACATAGGACCTCACACAGACATGTTGTTTGTAGTCATTTTGTGTGTCTGTTTTTGTGTTGTCTCTTTTTATGGCCAGTTTTCATCTTATTGAAGTAATTTTGCCTCTTTTGTGGCCATTTACATCTCTTTATAATACATTTGTGTCCTTTTGTGATCATTTGTCAGTTCCTTGAAGTACTTTTGTGTATTACTTGGCCAATTTTACATGTTTTTAAAGAAACTGGTCATTTTTTTATTTCTTTAAAATAGTTTTGTACCTTTATATGCTCGTTTTTTTTGTGTTTTATTTGGTGGTTTTGTCTTTGTTATTATTTTGTGTCTTTTTACTGAGCTCTACAACTTTCAAAATAACTAACATGCTACTTCAAACAGAGGCACAGGCCCAGGGGCCCCCTGCCCTCTTGGGCCCCTGTGCCCAGTAGGCCTGTTTGGTAATCCATTCACGAATACAAGGAAATATAAAGTTCTAGGTACCATTTTCTAATAGGGCAACGTTTATAAGCTGTAACAAATGGCTCTATCTGCCAGTTATAAGACATATAAGTATTTATTTTTCACAAAAGCCGATGCTTACAGTGACTCTGTGACTCTGTGATAATACATAATAAACACAAACTAGCTTAAGAAGTGCTTCACTCATACATAATAGACACAAACTAGCTTAAGAAGTGCTTCACAAGGAATATCGTATAATGTCTTTGAAATAATTAGCTGAGACTCACCTACATCAGTGTAAAACTGTCGTTATGAATGTCTGTTACTTCCCTCTCTCTCCACAGAGTGCCATTCTCTGCGTCACAGAGACAGAAGGAAAGATTCAGTTGATGCCCGATCGCTCAGCTCCCGTGGTAGTGACGGTAAAATGTCTTATCCTTTTATTTCTGATTGATTGAATGGAGCTCTGGTTTGAGTAGAGGAGAAGCAGAAGATGCTGGCGAGAGAGGACGAGGGAATGGGAGTAATGTGAAATAACAAACGCGGGAACACAAAAGGAAAAACAGGGCGAGGAAAGGGATGAAGAATGGGGAAATGATTGGAGATAGAAAATCAGAGAATGAGTCACTGTGCTTGAACTAAAGAGATCCTACAGAGAGATGTCGTGGGCTGATGACATTACGTACATCCCCCCTCAGCTCAGCAGCTGCTGCTATTTTGAGTGCAGCTTCTCCTCTGCTCTGCCTGCTTCTTTCCTCTCTAATCAAACCAGTTTTTCTTTCTCACTACTTTCTTACTCCCCTAACTCCTACTCACCTTTCACCACTCTTAGATTAACGTTTTCTTTAAGCTCACATTTTCTTTATTCCCTCTCCTTTTTCTGCACTTTCTTGTCTTTCAGTAAACGGGCCCTGTGGTCTTGTTTCTGTTGCAGTAACAATGTTAATTAATAGACTATATGGGCTGTCAATCAGTGGGCCATACTGCGGTTATCACCATTATTATCTTCTTGATTGCAGCTCCCAGTTTACAGAATCGAAGATATTCCTCCGTTGCCAGGATTCACTCCATGACTATTGAGGCTCCCATCACCAAGGTATGGGCATTCAGCTGCTTTTCAAACCTAATGGTCCCACCCAGAACAACAAAAACTATACCAGTATGCTGTAGATTTATTCCTAGTGTTCCCTTGTTGTACACCTTTATATTGTATGGTATGTTTTCCATTTTAGCCTAGTAGTCAGATGTTTGTTTAGTATGATTTCGACATCAAACCACCACACACAGTATTTTCTACCAAGCAGTTGAGGAAATGAATGAAGGGTTAAAGCAAAGCCTTCTTCCATAGAAGTGCTTTTTGGAATTTGACACCCCTCAGTGCTGTAATACACAAATGTTTCTTCCAGTGTAAAAATCAGTCAGAGAGTTTCATATACTGGCTTTTCACCAGGAATTAACGTCTTCTATGGGCCATTACCAGCTTGTTTTGCATCACGCCATGCACGCAGGTTGATTTCAGCGCCGCCGTTGGGAAATGAGATTTGTTTGTTCAAATACTTGTCACTTTGAGTGTGTTGTTCCAGCACCACAAAGCCATTCAGTAGCCAGTCATTAGAGCTGTCTTTACTGCCTTAATGTGGTTTGACTGAGCCAATAATGGAGAGTTTGCCTCTTGTGACTGCTAATAGGCAGACATAACAGCTAATATGATATCCTGTTAGTGGGAAGATGTGACCGCTGCCTTGCTCCTCTTTTTCTGTTTGATATTTAAATGTATTTTCTTGCAAAGTAATTAGACAAATCTGTTCACACTTTAAAATGTTTTAGGACGTCCTGCTGATACGAAGATGCTGTAGACAAAAACATACCCCTCATCCAGTCCCATGTTCAGGAGTATTTGTGCTGTTGATGGTTAATTTCAGTACATTTCATAGTCATTTTTTTGATTAACTACTAAATGTGTTAACCCTGAAACGGGTCAAAGTGCTGATTATATGGTATTATAAGGTTAAACATGAATAATATTTCAATATTAAGTTAAAACTACATTCCAAAACAGTAACTGAGTCTTGAACTTAATTTGGCAAATGTAGTATTTTTTAAGGGGGTATGTTACTGAGTGTCACATTTAAAGGAAACATTCAGGCAGTGGATCGGGCTCCTCGATGACCCCACCGTCATGATGTTAAGGTCTGTGGGAGCAGATGATGCGAGCAACAGTAGATCAGGCTGTAGGCTGGACCACAGTCTGATAACACACAGTATTCACCATGTCAGCCTCCCGCTGCAGGACCCGTGATGCTCGTTTGAGAAGCAGCTTTATTTAACCGTTTTACCACAGACAGGATTTCTCCAACATCATATGCACAAAGAAAGGAGCACCCTGTTATGTCCTGTTCTGCTCTTTGTGCATTTGTTTGTACGTAGTGTCTGGTTTGCTTCAAAATGGAGCCTTTTCTTTTTTCTCTTTGCCAGGTAATAAACATCATCAATGCAGCGTGTCTGGTTTGCTTCAAAATAGAGCCTTTTCTTTTTTCTCTTCGCCAGGTAATAAACATCATCAATGCAGCCCAGGAGAACAGCCCGGTAACGGTGGCCGAGGCTCTGGACCGTGTGCTGGAGATCCTGAGAACCACTGAGCTCTACTCCCCTCAGCTCGCCTCCAAAGAAGATGACCCCCACACCAATGACCTGGTTGGGGGGCTCGTGAGTGTAAGAGGCAGTGTAGATACTTACTATATGCTCCTGAGTTCATTCATAAGTAACATTTTTAAAGTGCAATAAAAGTTTCTTACCTCATGCATTCTTTTTGAACCAAGACCTTTTTGGCTTTCAAACTCAAATCTGTATTTTTAGAAAGCAACAGAGTCTTGGTTTATTTTTTCTTTCTTTATTTCAAAGAAAAGTCTGGTAATTTCCTGTGTACAAATCCCAAGAGAGCCAGGCACAACAGTGACTCAGTCCTACTAATAAATGTGCGCATCAGAGCTGGATATACTGTATCTTATTGATATGTGCGCATGGAGCTTCACTGTGTCCAGAAGCTGTTGAACTGGATCAGTGGCCACACTGCTGCACTAGGAACATGTTCCTACATCAACATGAGCACACACACACTGTAGTTTAAGTCAGTCCCACATCCACTGTCCTGCTGCCACAAAAGCTCACTAGAGACCGAATGTGTTGTAGTCAACAACAAACATACTCCAGTCTGACTAAGGTTAGCTAGTGTCAAGGTATGTTAGGAGCCATTTTTAAAAATACTATTTTATATGTATGCATTGTTTGGTAAGATTTATATTCAAAAGAAACCAATGCTGGGAGAAAATGGGGAAGGAGCAAGAGACAGACAAACACATCTTTGGTTCTAGTGTCACTGTGGGATATTTTAAAGTAATAAAACAACCTGGTCCTCATTGTCCCATCCATAGTATTTGTCTTTTGCAGAAATGTTTTATTGCATAGGTTATTGAGTTCATATTCTTTTATATCTGTAATTAATTAACAGTTTGTTTTTATTTCTCTAGGATGGACTGAGGAGACTCTCTGGGAACGAATACGTCTTCTGCAAAAGTAAGTTTTAAAGAACCAGTAAGTTATCACATTACACCACTGGTGATTATAAAACAGTCTAATAATAGACTGTAATCATCTCCTCCCACGCCGTCTGTAGCTGATTACACCACCAGTTGGGCAGAGCTTTGTTAAGTGTTGTTACCAGACTTTGTGTACATCGTCCTGCTGCAAACAAAACTAACAGGAGAGTGAGAAAGATGCCATCCAAACCCTCATAGTTCTGAGAAGTCTAGTCAAGAATAAATGAAAACACCTGCGAGGCTAAACTCTGGGAATTTTATTTTAATATAATTAAAGTACCTTTTTACACTTTACACAGTATATGAGAATAAATCGGTCAGTAAAGAGCAAGCATGACATGAGAGTCTTATTAATCTTCTCATCTAACTCTCACCAAGAAAGCAAATCTCCAAAACGCTGAACAGTAGTGTAGTTTTTTTTTCTATTCAATGGGCTAAATTTGGAATCTGTCTACTACCAGTGAGACACACAGTGAAATTCCACAACTGAGTCACGTATCACAGTATGTAAATGGCCTCACTGTGTACGGCCCCTCATGGTTGTTGGTGAATTAAATCTTAAGACAGAAGAGTAAGTGCTATTTTACTGCCCTTGCAAAATAAGTGACAGAAAAAAATTTAATGAAATGATTTTGAAATGAGGATTTACCTTTCCTCAAAGTCAATTTAAATGAGTTAGGAGCAGGTCGGAGATTGTGGCCTCATCATTGCAGAGACTATGGAACCTGAGCTCTGCTGCCTTGAATCTTCCATCCATCCATCATTATCTATAGCCCTTATTCCTGAATAGGGTCACGGGGGTGCTGGAGCCTATCCCAGGTGACACTAGGCGAGAGGTGGGGTCCACCCTGGACAGGTCGCTGGTCTATCACAGTGCTGACATGTAGACAAATAACAACACTCACTCCTATGGGTTTCCTTTGGACTGTGGGAGGGAGCTGGAGTACCCAGAGAGAAACCATGCAGGCACAGGGAGAACATGCAGACTCAGCACAGAGGCCGGGTCAGCCAGGACTCGAACCCCGGAACCTTCTTGCTGTGAGGCAACAGCGCTGACCAGTGCTGACTGAGTCTTATGTTACGTTTCATGACGAAAGCAGACACACACAGTGTCCTTTCTGTGAATTATTCATCTGAGTTTGTTATGTCACAACAACAATTAGCAACAAGAGCACTTAACTTAGAGAAGATCTAAATTGAGTTAATTTTCTTTTTCATCAAGTTAAAAACAGAATCCTTACATCAGAGCTGCAGCTCCATCAGCGCCACAGTTCTTTAAACAATCCTATCACTCACTGACCCTTTTACCACAGTCTCAAAGGACCAGATTTTCAAAGTGAGACACTTGGCCCGTGTGTTTGCACATGAAGAGTATACAGATATTAGGGCCAAAATTATTGTTTATCTGTCAAATCGTGCTCAGGGCTCCCTCTTGGTTTGTCCCTTTTATGGTCAGCTCGCCTTAAACCATGTGTGTGCGTGCGTGTTTGCACACTTCTGCCTGTTTTCTAGATATGAGCCAGAGCCAGCTGGCCATCCCAGTCACTCTGAGCGACGTCCCCCCATACATCGCCGAGATGCTGAACGATGAGGAGCGCTGGGAATTCAACATCCTGGAGCTGGAGGCAGCTACACACAAGAGGTACAGCAATGGTGGAAACTGAAACAAGACACCAAAATGATCAGATGGCCCGTTTTAGTTGCTACTCATTCCAAATAGTTTTTACTTCAGCAGTTACTTGGATTATTACTGTATTACATTCTTTTGCATTCTCAAAACTGGAAGTTGATACTTTACTGCCCAAATGTTGAAGTTTTTTTCATCTATACTGAACGCAATGGAAGTGCAAACATTAAAAGGATAGCTCCGGATTTTTTTATGTTGGTTTTTGTCCAATTCAAACAAACAAGACAGTGTTTCAATGTTTGAAGATTAGTTGTTTAACCGTCTTCTTAGTCTTCATGCTAAGCTAAATGTCTCCTGGCTCTAGCTTCAGACTTGGCATACACACAAGAGAGGTCACGATCTTCCCACCGAACTCTTTGACAAGAAAGGAAATCAGAAAATCTGTTTCTCTCTAAATAAGGATCTAAATGATTCAGGTAAAGGCAGGAAGATAATCAGCCCTTAATCAAATTATACATGTGGGTAAAAAGAGAATTTAAAGTAGAAGCAGGAAGAAGGTAACAGACAAAGTACTCTTATCACTTAAGCACACAGTGTTCCTTCACCCAGTCCTTTGTGTGACCCCTGCAGACCGCTGACCTACCTCGGGCTAAAGATCTTCACAAGCTTCGGAGTGTGTGAGTTCTTGAACTGCTCGGAGGCCACGCTGCGCTCCTGGCTGCAGCTCATTGAGGCCAGCTACCACTCCTCCAACTCCTACCACAACTCCACGCACGCCGCAGATGTGCTGCATGCTACTGCCTACTTCCTACGCAAAGAGAAAGTCAAGGTTAGAAGCACACACATTTGAAGTCATAGAATACATGCACCTTCCCAAATCTTGCAGAGTCAGCAGAGTGACAGTGACAGGTGTCAGGGTATACTGACGATGATGAATGAGTCAATGATGAAGCATGAAGGAAACGACTGATAGCAGTCGGCTAATGCAAGTGTGCCCTTAGTTCACTGCCTGGACTCGTGTTATGTTCCATTTCTTGCTTCAGTCAGGTGGTGAAGTTTAATGTGAAACAGGCTTCGGATCTTCACTGCTGCCCTGACAGTTTATTCCATCTGCATTTAATGAAGTAAACATTTGTTTCTTTTACACTGGGTAATCAGGATAATCACCTTTATTTGGCCAAGTATTTGACACACACAAGGAATTTGTTTCTGGTACAGAACCGAGGCAGCCATCTGCGGCGCCAAGTCAACCGATGGCTCTGACTATCGGGGGCAACTTGGGGGTTCAGTGTCTTTCCCAAGGACACTTTGACACATACACTGCAGGTACCAAGATTCGAACCTCCAACCGGGAGACAACTGCTCTACCCACTGAACCACAGCCGCCCCCGAGATGTTACCCACTCACCCCAGCCATCCTGCGCAGCCTGGCCACGATGCCATTCTGCCATTGATAGGGCACATGAACACATGCTAACAATAACAAGGACTTTATGGCATGTTTAAGTACTGTATTCTACATTCTATCACTAGACATTAGTAGTAGTAGACTTATATTCATTCTACTAAAATATTAAACTTTTAATCATTTTAACTTCTGTTATCTATAGCACATAACATTTTTGTTTCAGTTATAGACATAAAACTGGGATACCTCCTCTGAGATTCCTGAAGCTCCTTCATTGAGGGACTTTTCTTATCTGAACCAAGGCTCTAAAGCTAGCGGGTGTTCTATAGACTGTGAAGCCCTTTGAGGCAAAGTTGTCAGTCTGGGCTATATAAATGAAACTGACTTGCCCTATAGTTTTGATCTAATAAAACATATGCAAAACATTCCTTATGTAACTCAAGAATCTGGCTTATGCACACTAACAAGGCACTGAGATCTGAAATATAACTCTGGCTTCTGCAAATTATACTTAGGGTTTCTGGAAATGAGCTTGTTTGGAAAACAGTAACACTGATTTGCAGGAAATGCAAAATACATTTATGTACACATGAATATACTGTATATATGTATATAAATATACAATGAATATAAAGACAAAACCTTTTGCCACTGTAACTGAGCAAAAACTAAAAGGAAGGTGTGGAAAGTAACTAATGTTGAGGTACTTGAACTTTATGTATTTCTGTTTTATCTTACTTATATTACTATAGTTTAACTTCAGTGCATTTCAGAGGTAAATATTATACTTTTTCTTCCACTGCACTTATCTGGCAAGGATAGTTGCTAATTACTGGGATTTACATGTTTTGTAAAACACTAAGCATTGTTAAATATTAAGCCAGTGGTTCCCAGCTACACAGAGTATGCACCAACTGGTGTAAACCAGCTACTTTATTGGCACTGTCATCCAGAACAGGCCCAATATTGTTAACAATGCATCCATTAGAGCAGTTCACTCTCTCTGCAGTGTGGCTCAGTTCTGACACCCTCTGTCTCTCATGTCTTATTCAGAGCAGTCTGGACCAGCTGGATGAGGTGGCATCGTTGATAGCAGCCACAGTGCATGATGTGGACCACCCAGGCAGGACCAACTCCTTCCTTTGTAATGCCGGTAGCGAACTGGCGATCCTCTACAACGACACAGCCGTGCTGGAGAGTCACCATGCAGCCCTCGCCTTCCAGCTCACTGTACGGGACAGCAAGAGCAACATCTTCAAGAACATCGACAGGTCTGTAGTATTGGTGATAGTGTTGTATCATCTCTACACTCAGCTGCAGTTATCCATTGGTGCACTGATCCAGAGCTTTCTTTATCCCTTCACTCCTGTCGCTGATGACAGGAATCAGTTCCGGTCACTGCGACAGGCCATCATCAACATGGTGCTGGCCACAGAGATGACAAGACACTTTGAGCACGTCAGCAAGTTTGTCAACAGCATCAACAAGCCAATGGGTGCCATAGAAGAGACCAGCACAACTGTAAGTGTGGGTGGGCTCTGTTTGTCACAGCCTGAGATTAAACATCAGCCTATTTTTCCTATAATTGCCTATTGACAGTAGTTATTAGACATAGTTGCAGATAATGGAAATTTACTGAGACAAAGTTGTATCAAAAAGACAGTGTGTCTCAGTAAGTGTGTATACGTATGTAAACCTGTGCCAACAATATGTACAGTATAGTGTGCCTGTATTATTTTTCTGTATATATACTGTAGATGCTTATATTTTTCCAGTCTTTCCTGCAGAGCATGAACAGTGACTGTGAGGGTCAGGCGAACATCAGGAACTCTCCAGAGAACCGTCTGCTGATAAAGAGAATGTTGATCAAGTGTGCGGACGTGGCCAACCCCTGCAGACCGCTCGAGCTCTGCATCGAGTGGGCTGGACGGATCTCAGAAGAGTATTTTGCACAGGTGTGGGGACAACGCTATCACAGTTCAGTTTATTTGAACTAATAAAATTTACGATTAAAACATGAAAGTCAGGAATAGAAGTGTGTGTGTCTTTTACCTTGAGTGTTACCATGAACTTTGCTGTTGTCACCTCACTGATCCGTGTTTGTGTTTGTGTGTGTTTGCCCTGCAGACAGATGAGGAGAAGAGACAAGGGCTGCCAGTGGTGATGCCAGTGTTTGACAGGAACACCTGCAGCGTGCCCAAGTCACAGATATCCTTCATAGACTACTTCATCACAGATATGTTTGATGCATGGGATGGTAAGAACTGCATTTATTGTGTAATCTGCTACTGTGCGTTTGTGTTTTCTCTATCCTGTGGTGTGTTCAGTGATTTTCTTTTCAGTGTCACTTCCATATAGGCTAGCATGTTCCTAAAAAAGCTCTGTACAGACTTGCTCTGGGGTCTGATTGTGTTAGTAAAAGGTCGGGGTTACAAAATCATACTTCTTTGAAAGTAAACACTGCAGCTTGTAAAGCAGCACCACCTGTTGTTCCAGAGAAAGTCATCTGCTTGATGAACTGTTTCTACTCTGCCCAGTGGCCTGGCATAGTTTGATGTCTCACCTCAAGTCTGCTTTTAATGAATAGCTTTTAGATTCCTTTTTTTACCTTGTTTACATATTAGTTTAGCTTGTTAGCATGCTAACATCTGCCAATTGCAACAAACTAAACGAGGCTGGTGGGAAACCCGTTGGTTTTGTATTTTATTTTTCAGGTTTATGTACAGGATTTATAAGACCGATCTAGAGACAAACATAGCAACCTAGCTATAGATGCTGTGGTATGTGGCATTGGTTTATGCTATACAAATAGACATCAAATAAATAAGTAAATTTAACAAATTTGTGGCAAACTACCCAAGACTTGTTGAGACATTTCACTAAAAAACAAAAATGTCAACCTGATTGTAGCACTAGAGTAAACGCTTCAGGTTAGCAGATCACTAAAGTCACAGCAATGTCTCCTCTCAGCACCATGAACATCTGCCCCCCAATGCCATCTTATAGTTTGAGTAAAAAACTAAATTTAGCAACCCCGTGGCAGCACTAGAGAGTCATTTAGACTGACTGAACTTCTAAATGTAGTTTGGAGAGATCCTTTGTTGCTACAGGAACAGGTACTAGCAGGTACCGTCTCTGGACATACCCAGTAACCTGTGTGTTTTCCAGTTAGGTAGAAATTGGACGAGCTTTTGAATCACTGCCCATGTTTCCAGTTTGTTCACGAAGAATGACTGAAACAAAGTGGCAGTTCAGTCAATGTAAAACAGAACCTCTTAAATTCAGATCCTCACCTCTGCCCTCCATTAATGCCTTTAATGACTTCCTCATTTTTATTGGCAAATTGTAGGATAGGGAAGTACAGGAAAGGGAGGAGGTGGCATTAAAAGAAGTGGGAAGTGATAGTATGCTGCTTGTAATTCCCCATTCCCACTGAATTTCCCTTTTAGTTTAGTCTCCCCAAGAGGGAACTTGTTTACTGTCAACAGAGCTCTGATGTCATGGAAAGATTCCAAATGCCACTGGGACAGAGAGAAGCTGCAAAGGCGTCAGGGGAGGGGGAAGTTGGGAAAATAGTAGAGGGGATGGGGATTTATGATCATTTGGTCTGGGGAGGGTCGAGCACTCGAGCAGAACTTCACTCGCACATAAACACAAAAACAGACATGAAGTCGATTTCAATTCACCAGGGTCACTGCCGGGTCACTGCCGGGTCACCATTAGTTCCAGAGCTCCGATGTGGGTCATCAGCGAGCCGGAAATGAAGATGTAAACAATGTGGGCTGAGGGGGTCTTACACTGAGAAAACACGTTCTGTAGACCAAAGCTGTGTGTGCAAGACCTTTGATCCCAGCAGTCCTTTTATGTGGGAGCAACATTACACAGTGTACATAACATTAGCCAGTGTACATGACCTAAGAACACACTATCACAGTCCCTCATACAAACACACATCTTCCTACCTAATAGTTCATGTGGAATGGTAACAGGAAGGGACTGAAAGCAGGTGTGTCTGCTCAGTTTGTTTGCTCTTGGTTTCCTGAAGAATTTTAATTTTTCAAGTCTGTGTCCAAATAATACCCACATGCCCATTTGTTTATTGAAAGAGTTGCTCGTTGCTGTAGTTGTTCCTCCTATCCATACTGATCAATGGACAAACAGAAGATGAATCGAATGTTCATCAAAACTATTCTGCGGTTTCAGCTGCTTTTCTGAAACAAGGCATTTTAAAATGCAGCCTTGAACCTTGAGAAACTCAGAAAGAACATAATTGTTAGTTGCAGCCCTGCAAAACTTCCTGACACTTATTTTATCTTTTGTTGCACCACAGTGGAGAAACATTGATGCAAATAGAGAATTTCATTTCTAATGTTACAAGACATTTGTTCTAAGTAAGACTGCTTTAAATTCTTATACCATTGTAAAAACCATCAGCCCCAAAGACATTATATAGAACATGTTGCATGCATTTTTCTGTGTTGTCAAAATGTGGTTGCCTACATTACCGACTCACTTCAGATGCTGACAGTTGTTGTGTTATGCTAATAGCAGCTAACGTAGGTTGGGGCCTCTGGCCTGGTCTGGTAAACACCACACCCCCATATGTTTTATTTCTAACATGCAGTCTTCTGTGCCAACCAACGATGACTCAAGTGAGTCACCCAAAACTATTTCAGTGTGTTTCATGTGAGTATACTCAGGTCTATTTTTATTGGCATAGTCCAATATCACAAACCACAGATTTGCCTCATGGGGCTTGACAGTCTGTACAACATACGATACCCTCTGTCCTTAGACCCTTGAAACAGATAAGCACCCCCCACAAACACACACATGCACATATTTAATGGAAAAAAAGTGGAAGAAACATCAGGAAGCAACAGAGGAGGGATCCTTCTTCCTGGACAGAGAGATGTTCAATAGATGTTGCATGTACAGAATAAATCAACATAACAGATTAACAGTCAGAATGACAATTGTATATTGTACATACAGTATATGAAGAACACTGTATAAACACGTAATAGGAACATAATCCTGGAGGACGAGCCTAAACTTTTAATCATTCCAATCTATGTCCATGTTTTGTACCTCAACTCTTCCGTGTCTCCTCGCAGCCTTCGCCAACCTACCTGGTCTCATGGAGCACCTGTCGGAGAATTACAAGTACTGGAAAAGCTTGGACGAGATGAAGTGTAAGAGCCTGCGTCCTCCCCCTCCTTCTTGACACTCCTCTCATATACTGCTATGAGCTGGGTGTAGACAGCAAACAGACAGTGGCAGAGTTCTTCCAGTCACCCCTGGACATGGCTCGAAGTTGTCAGGAACTCTGAGAGCAGACATCACTGTTTCCTTCTCAAATCACAGCCTCTTTTCTTGTGAAGTTCAAGCTGGAGGTGGTGTCCTGCCAGTGGAGAACAGGTTGTCATTTGAGGCCTCTGTCGACTCCCTGTTGCCACTTTATGGCCTGGTTAACTATTCCTAATAGAACTTCTATGAACTGTGCGGACCTCATGGCTCACCTGACAATCTGTACCATACAGTTTAACACACGAGACACCTGCACTTTAGTCAGTTGAGATGTTTTCATACTGAGATCCTTCTTGCTTTATTTTGTCTTCACAGTTTTTTCTGTTCAGATTTTCTTAATCCTTTCATTCTACATCTGTATCTTGCTGTAAAAACCCTGGTGAATGAGATGGCATCCGAAGATAGAGGCACTGTCTGAAAGAGGTTTGTTCTCGCTTGTTTGTGAATGTGTGTATTCAGAAGTTCCTTTTCAAATTGCACTTTATGAAGGTGCTCAGCTGGAAGTGTTCGTTCTGATGAACTGTGGCCAGCAGTATGAAACACACTCACCTGGGACCAATTCTTAACAGTCAGAGGCCCCTATTGACATGTTGGAGAGCTCCTGAGACAGAGAAGCACCAGGGTCTGGTCAGAAGGGAGAAACCAGCCAGCACACAGGTTTTCTAAATATTCAGAGGTGGCATCAAAGAAGGGCTGTTTTTGTGATCACTGCTGGATTTAAAGATCTTGTAGCTACATAACAGGTGGTGAAATATGTCACCCAAAAATCTGTTATGGTCATTTCCTCTACATTATGGCATTTTGTGCACTGTGGAAGCAGCCAATGGAGAGCTTTGTTAGAACAAATACATTAGGAGAACTGCACTGTATCAGAGCTGTTTAGGTTAGATGCGATATGTTCTTCAAACAGTGAAAAATATGAAATGTTAAACACATAGCTTTGTGACACTAACTGTAGACATTTGCATCCAAAACAGCGAGTATCTGAACAATATAAGCTTTCTATGTGAAGCTACACTGACTGTTGTATGATGCACAAACATGTTTAGAGGTGAAAATAGGCCTCACAGTGGCCTGACAAGTGTACGTAGGAGCCCCTGATCCGTGTTTGGATCCTGTCCACTGTTCGTAACACCCATCAGCTCTGGCTCTCACATGAGTTTTGTTAAACCAGTTTTTACTGTATCTCAAAATCCCACTAACACAATTCACCTTGCAGTTGTATAACTGTTTTTAGGAGATTTTTCCATTTTTTAAATTGAAAGTATAACACAGAGATTTGTATAATGTGCCTGCCCTCTGGTGGCGTTTTAGAAGTGGTGCATGAGAGGGAGGGTGATGAGGAGAGACTGGGAATAGAAAGAGATGAGATAAGATCCTTTATTGTCATTGTAACACGTACAACGAAATTTTTAGAATGACCTCCGGTTGGTACAGCAATAGAAAAAACATAACATATGAAATAAGACCGTATAGAAAAAAATCACAGCTAAAAAAATGAAATGCACAACAGACCTCCCAGCATTTATAAACAAACTATTGGCTTTAATATTTGGCAGCTGAACCAGTGTCAGTATTATAATTCTTTTAGACTGAGCCTGTATTTTTCGGAGCACTTTACCTTTAATTTTTGAACACGTGAACAGTGAAGGTGGAACTGAGAAGTACTCTTGTCACATGTAACCATTTGAAATGAGTTTATAACATGGGGAAAATTTGAAGAAAATTGGATTTTCAGATATTTAGAAAATACTGCTTTGGTGAAATTGTGTATTTTCATTATTACGTATTACCAGTTCTTGTCCCAAGGCTCCATCTGAGGTAGGAGGTCATGTTGTTGTGTGTGTGCACAGTATGTGCATGTCCACATTACACTATTAACCAAAGGCACAAAGAGCCCTTTACAGGTGCCTTATTTCTGGTCATCTTACAGAAACAAAAGTATTCTCTGACTGAAATAGATCCTCCTCTACTCCTAAAGAAAAAATATTCACAAGAAAAGCCATATATGTTTTAGGAATGTTAAATACCTGACCTCTGATATGTTGTGTTACAGTCTGTGCTACAGTTTTGAGTTGGCTTGTTGTCCTGCCACATGACATTTTAATCTGTTTTGTACTTTTGAGGATTTTTAAAGACAGAAACTGAGTCAGGTGAAGTCGGATCAAATGTGAATTCCACCATTGGTTGTCAGTTATGGTTTCAGTTCACTTTAAAGAGATGTAACTGGTTACGTCCATGTTCAGCGTACTCATGACGATATGTAGTCATTTCAGTAATATCAAGGTCTTAATCCACGCCTTAATCTTGTCTCACTGTTTAGATGCTATTGCTGCAATACACTGTAAACAACTAATGTAACTGCTGTTCTTGTAAATTTATCATTTCTGCTTTGCATTTACATATTTTGCTTATGTGACTTTTGTTATATGTTGTGGGGGTAATTCCAAAATCTCTTAAACAAAATTTTTATTTATTTATTTTTTTTACAGTGACTTGAAATGTGGCTCCACTGCCGACTGTTTCAGAATGGCGAGTACTGATCATGAAAAGATATTTTGCTAAATTTCTACTCACAAAAAGTGTAAATATTTTATATTTGCATGTCAGAGGAACAGGCCTTCTCTGTGAGCAGCAATGACTGGAATGTGAAGATATGACAGCCAGTCACTTAACGCCTCACTATGAAGCTGAGGCAAAACCAGATTGTATAACCGCTTGTTGATAAGCCATCTTCACTTACAGCAATTTCCTCTTCTTCATCTGTGGCAGCGATGGCCATGGCTCCAATGTGCTGCAACATGCCATTTCTGGGTTTTGTATAATTTAACAGAACAATTGTGATATTGTTGTATATGCTACAAATTATTTTTCACAGAAGAAACGTTATTATTGGCCGTGAGAATTGTAAAGAGTGTTTTTGAAAGATCTTACTGCTTCACACATATTAACAAAGGCTTTCTGTCAGTCACAAAAAAATTGTTTGTTTGAAAAGTTTAATGTATTTTGCGCTTTGGATTCTGATATCTTATTTTGCTGTTTTTTTTTGTCAAATAAAATGTATTGTAAGACAATTAAAGCTTTATTTAAATATGAATTTGTTGCATAAATGGCAGCAGCAAAATGAACCCCTTTACATGCACCCCCATCACTCTGAACAAGCTCAAAAATAATGCATGCAAAATAAAAATATTACTGTTCCACCCTTTTGATTACACTCATAACCATGGTCTCATTTGAAATGCGGCTATATAAATTGTACAACCAAAAAGTCCAAATGAGTAGGCTATAAGTTATAAGTTACAGTGGCACTAAAATGGTAGAATAGTAGTTTTTAAACATTATAAAATGGCATTTAAGGTCTGTAGTAGCCTATTAGCTATTGGCTGGTAAATACTGTGGAGTACTATACACATCTAATCTAGTTCTCTATAAAAGCAGCTGATATATATATATAATTTAGGACTATATGTAAGTATATCTATCTAGTGTTATCTAACTATGTAATTTACCTATTTCTCTATGTATCTTACTGTCTAGCTATCTATTGATCTATCTCTCTAGCTACAGTGATTCTCCACTAGATACACAATCTGCTGCAACACTACTAACTCTCAAACCAACCTGCTCTGCAAAGACAAATTCAAATGAACGCCACTAAATAGACATATCCTATCTCTGAACACACTCTAGCTCGCAAAGTGATTCACATGACAAACCGAACCAATCAGCTGATTTGTATGACGTCCGAGGCACTCGTCACGTGACCAAAATATGCCTCGGCACAGCTTCGTGAACTACCGTGCCTTGAATAGGTAAATTGGCCAGCTGTCGCTATTGCTGATGAAGATAGCCAAGTAGCATTAATGTACGAACATCACTAGTGGAAATTGTATTAGCTCGCTAGCTTGTGCGCAAACATTCTCGCTTTGCCATCTAGCTTAGCTTGCTAACCTTAACACTGCACCTGGGGTGAGTAATGCTCGATATGCTGTTTGCTGTGTCTTTTCGTAGTTTAACTTTGTTGGAGGATGCATGCGTGTAGGTGTTTTGGTTGGTTGTACGGTGGGTACGGAAAGTATTCAGACCCCCTTAAAATTTTCCACTCTTTGTTATATTGCAGCCATATGCTAAAATCATTTAAGTTCATTTTTTCCCTCATTAATGTACACACAGCACCCCATATTGACAGAAAAACACAGAATTTTTGACATTTTTGCAGATTTATTAAAAAAGAAAAACTGAAATATCACATGGTCATAAGTATTCAGACCCTTTGCT